TCACACCCTAGTTGACCTTGTGGTAGTTCGTTCACTTAATGCTCCATTTTACTCTTGAGCATATGACCATACTCAAAGTGAATGGGGCATGAGTTAAAAATAAAATACAGAAGAAAGGACATGATAATGAAAAATGCCTTTCATTTGTTTGTATGTTAACACGTATACTTTTTGTTTATTTTCTAGTCGAACTTCGCCATGGGGCGTTTCCCAAGCACGTGTAGGAAGTGTTACATGCTGGATTTTGGCTTGGCACGACAATTTACAAATTCATGTGGGGATGTCAGACCAGTAAGAATTTTTTTTTCCACAGTTACTGTAAATTATTAATAATTTCCTGTGAAAATATACACAAATATTTCTGGAAAGGTCCCTGTGTAAGATTGAATGGAGCAGAGATATATGACTTCATACAAAAGAAAGATCAAATGACCTTGGAGTCATAAACAAGGGTGGGTTCTAACTTTGGCCTAAGATGCAGACTTATGTGACCGTGGGCAGTGCTTAAATGCTTTGTGCATTGATCAGTCTCTGACACAGTTTTCTATCTGGAAAAGCAGGACCTCAGTGACTACTAGATGTTACGCTACAGCAGAATGTTTCTTGGCAGATAAAGTATGGTCAGGTACAGACTTGTTTACCAGTATAAGTGATCAGAAACAGGTCTATACCCATACCAGAAGTTCAGCACACAAAACCAGTTTATATCTGTAGCAGAACAGAAGTTAAGCACACGTAAACTGGTTGAAAAATGGTGGAATTCAGTCTAAGACTTGTCCCCCGCTGCCCAAAGGGCGAATGTGTGTTTTGTTTGCTACTCATCTAAACTGCGTTGCTTGCAGAAACCTACGCAGCTTGCATCGATTCTGCCTCAAGCTTTAAGAATATCTGTACCTAGCCTATAGGAGGAGGAGGATGGGAGACATTCGAACATTAAATTGAAAACCTGATGTTGTCTAGAAAAGAAAGAATCGGGCAGAATGATAGAATGAAATAAAATATAGGTAAATGTAGCTGTTGTATTGCTGAAAAGAACTACTGTTGTTTTAAAATGAGGGGAGAATTAACACATCGTTTAGTCAGAGAAGATCTTTAAAACAAGTGACTGAATGAGCAGATCACATTAGGTAGAGAAGAGCCTCTGTAATTTGCTGATGTTTGGGGGTTTGCATTTGGAATTCCTGAAATTTGCGAAGAGACAAGTAAGTGAACACGAGCATCATAAAATATAGTCCAGTGGTTCCCAATCTGTGATACAGGTACCACCAGTGGTACGCAGACAACCTGTCAGTGGTATGCGTTAACAGACTTATTATAATTACTTCATATGGCAAAAATTTGCTGGTGGTACTTAAGGTTGAACTGAAAAAATTGCTTGTGGAACTTAAGGTTGCATCATTTTAAATTGGTGGTGCGCAATCTGTCAGAGTTTGGGAACTGCTGATATAATCTTTTGTTGTAACTAGTTTTTAGTGTAAAAGTTTATAGTAGTACTTAATATTGTACTTTTTAATAATGTCTAGCATCTATATGAGGCACTAACTGCAGGAGCCTAATTCTACTGCGCGTTAGCATGCAGGGCAAAAACCATGCTAATGTGCTAATAGTTTTGGGCTACTGTGCAGTTAACATTGGTAAAAAGCCATGCACCAGTGCTACTGTGCAGTAGTGCCAGTTACTGCACATTTATTTAGTACTTGATTATGCAAGTACTAAACTTAATGTACAATAGTTACAGCGCAATAATGAATGTGTAGTGTATGTAATGAAACCTGATTTATTAGGAGCCATCTCTAGAATGTTTTTAGTTCCACTGTGGCTGAGGGGTAGGACAAAATCACAGTTTTTGTGTGCATAGACTTGTGAATTAACTAAATAAATTAGTGAGGTTCTGCTACACTCTGTACCTTCAGCCATAATGCTGGCATTTGAATGAAAATAAAGGGTAGGGGAGAGCAATAGAGTAGCTGCTGCCCTTCGAAAGGTGAGCTAAGCTTTTTGAAATAGTGTGTTTTTTATTAAATAATTCCAAACCCTTGTCTTTTTTTCTATATGTCTGGATATTTAGGATGTCTGAATTATCATTTTGTAAGGAAAAACTTATTTTTTTTTAAGTTCAATACTACAGGTCCACCAGTGATGGTATTTTCAGAAAAATTAACAGGAATATTAGATTTTGCATTGTGCAGTCTGCTTGCTTTTGTTTTTCATTGCAGTGCCCTCCAGTGTAACTGAAATAATTTTCTATTTGGCATAGTCTATTTTCAGGCTTTTTGACAGATAATACACGTAATATAATAATAATATTGTATATAAACAAGCAATATGCACACTTCTTTCATTTGCACTGATTAGTATGACTTATTTTAAGTACTAAGCCATTATGATTATGAAGAATCATATTTATATTTGTATTAAACAATATGATTATGAATAAAATTAAATTGGATTTTCTTTTAAGGAAAATATTCTGCGTGATTGTAGAGCAGCTATGCTCCATTATAATCATTCTTATTCTAATCTTCTTTAGATTTACTCTCAGGTTCACTGTAAACACAGACTGCTACTAAGGAGATTGCACCTTGTTTGCTCTTAATTTCTCCTTCTTCTCGCAACATATTGTAATGGTGTTTTTTCAAATTCCTGGACATCTACTATGCATCTGTGTTTCAGATATTTTTATCTTTGGTAAGCTACTCCCAGCTGTTTTTGTTAGAATCACAAGCTGTCAGTGGTATTTTGATGCGTCTTTGTAGTGGTGGTATGATCGACAAATAGAATATGTTTCTTGTTTTAAGTTTGCTATAAAAATGCTTTTGGAATTCTAGTATATATCATTCTTACAACATGTCTGATTCAGTAAAATTGAGGCTTGATCAAGAAGCACTCAGTGCCACCTATTTGACATCTGTGAAGTATTTGAAATTTTGTCTTGAAATTTGATATTTCAAATGGAAAGGAGGCAGCATAGATTTAATTTAAATTGCTTGATGTACTGCTGATTTGTGACTAAGTTAGACTTGTAGAGTAGTGCTGTGAGTACTGTGGTGTGATAAACTTCTAACGTGGTGCATAGCTGGACGTTAGTCATTTCAGAGATACTTTCTTAAATTGCCGTAAAGCAATACTAGCCTTTGCTATACGTTTAGACCAGAGATTCTCAACTGCGGGGTGCCTTAAAAAGATCCTTTCAAGGGTGTTGCATGGTGCTGCACAATGTTAGTACTGTTAGATGTACAAACGATTCATAAGACAAACCCAGAGATTTCAAATAAGAATTCATAGTATTAAAAACATTCTTACCTGCTGTAGTTTTTGAGTTTTTTGCAACAGAAGACTTGCTCTGTTTTTCTGTAGTCAAAAAATAAGTGAAAACCAAAGCTGGTGTTTTCTGAAGGCTCCCTTGAGGCTATCCAAGGGGGCCTGGAGTCTAAAAAAGTTGAGAATCACTGGTTTAGATGGTCTCGTGCTCAAACAGAACATTTCTAGCTGATGAGCTGCTAGTGCAACAAAAGTTGTTTGGGGACACGTTTTTAGTCTTAACTAGTAGTTCTGCATGGGTCACGAGACTTCAGCTTTTTTGAGGCTCACTGTTAATAGACATACAAACTGGGGATTATAGACTGAATGTCTTTGAGCGTGTGCTCAATTTAAGGTCCCTGCCACATGTTACACTTAAGATGTGATTAATCAGTTAGTCATGTTTTAAGTTGTAAGCTTGCCACACATTAAAGCAATGAATGGCATCATAAAACAAGGAATAAGTCACAAAGTTATTCCACAAAAAATGTGGAATAACTTTGTGGTTGGTTCCTTTCATGCTATTAATTGAATGTGTGGCCAGGTGTACCCCTATGGCTGGGAGCCCACCAGTTGATGGGGCTCCCAGTTGTGGGGGAACACCATGTGCTCCCACAGGTAAGAGCCCTGTCAGCTGATGCAGTGCAGGGGGTGCCTAGGATCATGATTCTGTTATGTACATGCAGCATGGCAGTAAGTGCCATTGTGTGAATTGTGCATCAGTTCCTCTTGTGCTTTTACCTGCAGGGGTCTAAAGAACAACTATCTGCAAATAACAGATCCCTAATCGGTAATTGCACCAGTAGCTTCCAGCAGGCTTGTAGGTGCTGCAAATGGAATAGTATGACATTGGTCTGAAGCTAGTTCTACGCTCCTTCACCAGCTGGACAAAAAGTGAAATAGGGTTGGTTCCAGGTCACAACTTAGCTTTGTGTTTTTTCAAATGATTCTTCCAGGTCCCATACTTGGGACCACCATTCTATTATAAAAAGGTCCTTCCATATACACAAATCTCTGTGGACACCAAATTCGTGCAACAATGTCTTATGAGCCTAATGTTTTACTGAGTTGAAATTTTTGGTCAAGTTCACATATACATCTTGGCTGTGTTCTCTGCATTTTTCCTTGTAGTTGCTGAATTGAAAATGTTGTATCATTAGTACTTCTTCCTAAAGAAAATCATAGTGTGATGCCCAAGATTAATGTACTCAATATAATTCTTGCAAGAATTCTCCCAGCAGCAGAGTAGAGCAATACCATGATGACTGTCATAGCAGTTTGCCAAGACTCAAAATGGGAGCATCCTTGAAATCTGGTGGCTTTGGGTCCTTTCACAAAAGTGGGAAAAATGCTATAAGTTGCCCTCATGGTCAAGAATGATTGCTTCTGTGGGTCAGGTAAACGGTTATAAATGGGGCTATTGATGGCTTAAAGAGGCTAGTCTTGGAGCTGCAGACTCTCTGGCAAACTCCATAAGTGGTGGTCAAAGAGAAGGTCAGACCACAGATTTCTGAATCTTGTTTCCTTTCCTTCCATTTCTGTAATTTTTTTGTCTCTAGGACAAGACAATTTTCCTCAAAGTAAGTTGTACCTTCTCTCTCAAGGCATTGCCATGTAGCCTTGTCCCAGGCTAGGTTTTCCCATTATGTGGTGTCGGTGCCCACACTTATTGTTCACCTTGAGTGCATTTTTGAAACTTTTCCTCTGGCCCCCCGCATGTCTTTTGTCCTTGGCTGAGTTGGGTGTATAGCAGTTGTTTTGATAAACATGCATCAGGCATGCGCACACAGTGCCATGTTCACTGCAGCTGATGTTAAATAATGAATGCTTCCATACTGATGGTGTTAGCATTAGCAAGGACACTGGCATTTATGCAATGATCCTCCCACTTTATGCCAAGGTCCTCTGATGATGGTATTCATAACTTTTTAGGTGGTTCTGATAAGTCACCCAAGCTTCACAGCTGTAGAGAAGAGTTGGGATTACCACAG